GGATTTTGGATCTTAGGCTTGGGCTTGGGCTTGAGGCTTGCTGGAATGGGTTAGGTTTGGGCTGGGTTGAGTTGTTGGCCTACCTATCTTAATCTTTTTGGGCCAAGCTAGATCTGTGGACTGTAGGATTATACACATTACACATGTGTATAAAAGTATGTAACTCCCCTATAATCATGATGGATTAAATCCATTAGTTTGTAGATTTATTTCTTGGCAGTTTTTTGCAGATATTAAATTTTGCATTTGTTGCAAGAGAGCTCTCTCTCTCTCTCCATGTATATAAAAGGAGGCCCCTCTTCTTCAGTTTTCCACCTAGAAAATTCTTCTCTCTTTTTTGTTTCAAAGTTTCTCCAGTTTTATTCTTCCTAGTGTGAGAGAGTGTTGTTTAAGTTCTGTTCGCCGAACCTACACCGTAGTTATGACAACCACACCTTTCATGCATCATGAATATTAAATTGCTTATGCCTTCATGTTACATGTCATATGTTTATGTGATTTGAGATTTGTAGTATTAGGAGAGGAAGAAGAAGAAGCATGAAAAATTAAGATAGGAACTTGTTTGTTATGTGTTAGAATTATTTGCTATGTGTTTTGAGTTAGGGGTAGTTTGGAGCTTAATTTGAAAACCATAGGATATGCCTAAACCTTAAATGAAGAGCTTAAATACCTTAGGCTAATAAATCTAACCTTTTCATGCTATGGGTTATACTACTAAGTAGGATTAGTACTAATTAAATATAATTAGGGAATCTTAATAAGAATTAAGAATCAACTTAGTTACCTAAGTATAACTTAGACTAAGTAAGCCTAAGTAAGCAATATGATTGGTTTAGAGATGTTACAACCCTTGCCCTAGCAATACACAATAAAACTTATAGTTTCTAATTCAAACAAATAGAGTTTTGCTAGAATAGGTGAGAAGAATCAAGAGGAAGAAGGAAAAGAGAAGAAGAAAAGAAGAAAAATGAGGGAAAGGAAAGGACTCCAAGGAATTCAACTAAAATTGATCTAGGAGCATTCTAAGGTAAGAACTCAATCCTAAATCTTGTAGTAGACTCCCTAAACATCTAAGAGCAAGAGGAAATTAGAATAAAAAAGAGTTAGAAATGGAGAATTTAGAAGAAATGGAAGAAAAGTTGAGCTAGGAAAGAAAAATGCTAGGAAGCTTAGGAAATTTATTCTTTTGATTAAAGTTTTGGTGTTCTTGATGCATATGAGCCTTTATTTTAATATATTCCCATGATTTCCAAGAGTTTTCATGGTTTAATTCATGTTTTGTAACGAAAGAAAGAGAAGTTTTTGAAAAAGAATCAAAACAATCCTAATCTTGAGTTTTCTATTAGTTCTACATGTTTTTGGGAGTTTTGTTTTGAAACCTAGCTCGGAAAGTGGAAGAACATGACTTAGAATCAAATTGATTTTTTGAACAACTGCTTTTACCTAGTCCCGCACGTGCGGTGGGACTTCCCGCACGTGCGGCTAGCAGAACTCGTGAAAGTTTGTATTCTAAAATAATTGCAGGTGCCCCCACACGTGCAGCCAGGGTTCTGGACATGCGGCCCTATGCCATCGCATGTGCGGTTTGCAAGGCACGACACCGTTTCGTTTTCTTGTCATTTCCTTCGACCCTCGGATACCCTTATACGCATTTTAAACCTTAATGAAGATCAAAAGTACTTAGAAGACAACTTAAAATGAACTAGGTTAATAATGAAAAGATAAGTAGAAACCGATTAAACTTGTTGTGTTTAGAAGGTTCAATGCCTCGTTCTTGTTTTTTAAGTCAAGTTTTGAAGAAGTAGCCTTGAGCAAGGAGCCAAATTGTGAGTAGTAGTGTAGCAAAGTTATGTTCTTAAAGTTATGATTCAAAATGCAAACATATGATATGTTTAGAAAGTTATATTATTGTTTTATTATGAATAAACATCATATTTTTTTGTATCATGTATTTAGATGACACTTGGATCATGTTTACTATTGGGAATCATACCAATAGGCAAGTCCTAACTACGCTCTTTACAACCTGTTGTGGGCAAGTTACAAGCCAAGTCCCAAGAACGTTCATCGCTATGTATATGCACGCAAGTCAAGTTTTGTTACCATATGTAAATTCTGCTATGTTTAAGATGAGCTTGTGCTTGGTTTTTATCAAATTTTATCGATGTTCATTCATTAAACACTTTACTATATTACTATTCACTGGGCTTTAGCTCACCCCTCTCCCCCATATGTACGTAGGTAAAGCCGAGGATCTCGTTTTGGATGAGAAGTCAAGTTAGAAGCCTTTTTTTTTTTTGTTTTTCTTCTTTTGAGAGCAGTGCTTTTGGATGAGAACTTATGTTTTTGGCTTTTGTAGGTTGTATATTCGTAAATACTTCTGTTTTGGATGTGGGTTGTAATAGTTAAAGATAAATAAATAAAGTTGCTTATATGTTCATGTGATCTATGCACAGCTCTAGATGGACCCTCAGTAATTAATGGACTTCAATTGATTTTTTGCGTAAGCCCGAATATTTTTAGTCCAACCTTGTTTTATCTTGTCAAGCCTGGAGTAGTCAGACACTACTGGGCGACTATGGCTACTATTTGGAACGGGATGAGGACGTGACAATAGGCGCTTGGCTGTAGCTGGTCTAACCATCGTATCTTAAGAAACAGACGTCGAACAACCTCCAGCACCCCAATTGGGGAGGCAATGAATTTGTTTTAAAGGAACTGTCTAGTGCAGGTTTTGATTTGCTTTCTTTTGCCATTTTATTTTATGATGTATTTTTGTTCAATCTGTTTGTAATTTTCAGCATGTTTATTGGTTCAGAAATTTTTATTTTTCCAAATATGAATCTATATGTTTATTTAAGTACACCATATGTACAACATTTGTATGTGTTTTGCTAAATGGTTAAATAGATTTGGGTTTGTGAATTTCAATGGGTTTGTATTTTTGTAAATATGGCAATGTTACTTTGAATTCTTTGCGATGAACTATCGGATTATAGACATATGTATATCATATAGACAGATTTACATAAATGCGTGAGATTTATGCACTTTGAGATTTTACATATTAAAAAAGAGAGAGATTCTATTCAAGTTATAAGATAGATTGGAAAGCCAACATTGAGACTTGATTTTCATCTTTTGCATTTTTGCGAAGGTAAATTTTAAAAAATAATAATAATAATTTATTAAAATGATTTTACATAACAAAATAAAATTCAAACACAACTTGTGCATAGCACATTTAAAAAAAACTAGTGTATAAGTAAAATAGAATCTTCTCTAAGAAAACTTTAGATATGTGTCATGTATTATTTTAGCCTCTTAAAATTTTGCCAAGTGTCATTCCTAGATTTAAAGATATGAGTTTCTATCTTTAATACTTTTTCTCTTTCTTTTTGCATTTTTTTTAATCATCTCTTTCTTTTCTCTTTTATTCCTCTTATAATTTTTCTTATTTCCTCTATAAATTCATTATTTTGTATATATGTTTTGAATTATTCCATCCTATATATTTATATTTATTAATTCTAATAACATGTAGAAGAAAATTACAATTTTGAAATACTTTTACAAAAGTATGATAAAACAAATGTAAAAGGTTGTTCTAAAAAAAATAAAGTAAAAAAGAAGACAAAAAAATAATTGTTTATAATAATATCACATTAGAAACAAAAAAAATATTGTTGAATTAATGTTGTGTAGGCATCATAACATCTAGACTCATTTTATTTGCTGTAAATTGTGTTCAATAAAAATATTTTTTGCATTTTGTGATATTTGACCTCATAAATGTTAATAAAATAATTTTCAACAATTCATTTTATATTGGACCATGTGAGGTTCCTCAACATTTTCACAAAGAAAATTCGATTTAGAGAAATTTCGGTATCGATACAAAGAAATTTTTAAACAAATTTCAAAACACAGATAAATTCAGAGAAATTTCTCTGGTATAATCACTTTTGATTTTCTGTATTTTGAAATTTTCTTTATATTTTTTTTTATTTACTTACAATTTTCTCAATGTTTTGCTCACAATTTTTTCAGTGTTTTGATCAAACCAAAGAAAATTGAGCTACTTCACTATTTACTGTTCCAAAAATTTCTCTAATTTTCTTTGTGTTTTAAAATTTTCCCAATATTATCTTATCCAAACCTTAAACATAAAAATTACGTCTCCCCATTCAAACAAACAAATCAATAATCATCGTTACTAAAAAATTAGAGATATAAAATCTCGAAATAGAAAAATTCATAAAATTGAAGAAAAAAAAATCAAGAATCAAAGAGCAAATCTTAGGGGAAAAAAACTCGTATCAATCCAGAGGAATCTCGACATCGCCATGTGAAATCTCCTGTTGCAAATCCACCAGAAACACAAGTCTTGAGAATCTCCTTAACAGTACCAATAAGATCTCTGGCCATCGATCTCACCTTCATGACTTTTGCGATCTCAATCACATCATCAAGTGATATATTACCTGCGTGCTTGATGTTCTTGGTCTTCTTCTATGGTCGAACTCGGAGATGGAGAGCTTCTCGTCGCTGGGTATAGATCGAGTTTGGTGAGATCATCAACTTTTATGTCTAAACTCGATATTTGATGATACTTCAAGAATAAGAGAACTTGGCGATTTTGTTTGAAAAATAATTTTTTAAAAATTAGAGAGAGATCTTAAGTTAAAAATAAAAATAACAATAATAATAATAATAATTTATGAACCTCTTCTAGTTTAAAAAATTGAAGAGGAATGTTAATTAAGAAGTGTTTTGAAATGATAATTAAAAATATTTATTTAAATTTATTTTTTAATTTTTTTATAAAAATAAAGTGACAACTCATATTCTCAAATCATAGTTACAAAGCTCTACCAAACGGAGCCTAATTCTTCCACCAAAAAAAAAAATAAAAAAAAAAATTGACAAGCTATGTTCGACTAGTTTTTTCTTAAAAAAAAAATAAGGCAACCTAAAATGGAGCGTGGACAGAGTACAGCACATTTTTGGTTTTGATTTTGCCTCAACTGAAAACCCTCCCTCTCTCTCTCTCTCTCTCTCTCACTCACTCTCTCTCTATACTCCATTCCTAAACCCTCTCTCGGTCTCTCGATCGATATACATATAATTTGTATGAAAATGGAATTCAAGTTTCGAGCCATCGACGAGCAAGCTTCGACTTATCTTCCTCCTCCTTCTTCTTCTTCTTCGAGCATCAGTTACTTCACCGAGCAAGCACTCCGAGGTAAGTTCAAAAATCCCCAATTCTTCACTTCTCTCACATAATCATCCACCTCAAATCAACAGTCAACTCTTGCATCTATAGATTCCTAGATCAATTCTTGTATATATATCTGTATAAAAATGTTGAAGAAAAATTGACCATCGGACTAGATTTGTGGTTGAAATTTTTTATTTTTATTTATTTTTTTGCTTTCTTGCATTTTCTCTGCGACCAAACAGAGTCTTGAGTATCGAAATCTGTTTGATTTTACCATCTTTTTATGTCTATAAGTTGGTAAAGTTTTCGGAAAAAAGATTAAAAATGTTGAAGAAAAATTGACCTTATTTATAAGCTAAATCATTGTACGAGACTCATCCGAGTAGATTTGATTTCCTGCATTTTCTCTGCGACCAAACAGAGACTTAAGTATCGAAGTCTGTTTGATTTTACCATCTTTTTATGTCTATAAGTTGGTAAAGTTTTCGGAAAAAAGATTAAAAATGTTGAAGAAAAATTGACCATCGGACTAGATTTGTGGTTGAAATTTTTTATTTTTATTTATTTTTTTGCTTTCTTGCATTTTCTCTGCGACCAAACAGAGTCTTGAGTATCGAAATCTGTTTGATTTTACCATCTTTTTATGTCTATAAGTTGGTAAAGTTTTCGGAAAAAAGATTAAAAATGTTGAAGAAAAATTGACCATCGGACTAGATTTGTGGTTGAAATTTTTTATTTTTATTTATTTTTTTGCTTTCTTGCATTTTCTCTGCGACCAAACAGAGTCTTGAGTATCGAAATCTGAACCAAACAATCTGAGTATCAAACTTCTGTTCGATTTCATGATCTTTTTACCACATGTCGCTTTTTGACAATGCCTTTTACGTGAATAATCATACTTTCAGCAGGCTATTCAGGCCCTGATTTTGGACGCCCGGCAGAGTTCTTTCGTTTTACGTGAATAATCATACTTTCAGCAGGCTATTCAGGCCCTGATTTTGGACGCCCGGCAGAGTTCTTTCGAAACCCTAATGATGTGCGCGAAGCAATTCAGCGGGAGCTTGAGAAACAGAGGATTAGAGAAGAGATTGTTGCAGGTGAAATTGCGCGTAAGCGGTTGCTGGAAGCAGAAGTAAGGAGGGAGATGTTGATGGAGAGAGAGATGGCGTTGCGTGGAGCTGAGAGGTTCTCAACTTTCTCGGGTTCAGCTGCCGTATCGGCAATGCAGTTCGAACCAAGACTGTCTCTTTTGCATCAGTCCGATGGTAGATCGCTCGAGGAGAGACTGGCATTGTCGCTCGAGGATAGGTTGGGCTACCAGGCTCGTCGTGGGAATGGGGGTTTCGGGACTTTTTCCTTTCAGCACAATGCGGAACCTAAGATTTCTGAGGTCAAAACTCCTTCAGAGGTTAGCAAAGAGAAAATCATTTTCCTGGTCAGTACTTAATACTTTTACGTCCTCCTCTGGCCTTCACTTTCCTTGTGTATGTGTTTGTGTGTGTGGCTGTTTTTTTTTGCTTTCCATATGTTGTGTCTGTTGGGTCCTAAAATTGAACGTCACTGAAAATTACAGATGAAGTTTTTTTAAACTTGTTTTCTTTCCTCGATGGCCTGCAACTTTGATGGATTTCTATGCTTTTTTCTTCCCCAAAAATTAGATTTTTTTTGGCTGAAGGTTTTGTTCTCGTTTTTAGGACTGTTTCTGTTCATGAATTCAGTTGGTTTGAGGTATAATTTCTATGTTCAGGTCCTGATGTATGTTATTTTCTTTGGCACTGATAGTGTCCATTTTCTCTTTAATAGCTTGTCTGCTAATAGTGAAATTGCTTGTTTGATTTGGGATTTATGACCATCTTTGGTTAATGGTATTTTTTCTTTGCATTGACCCATTTTATTTGTAATTGCTTTTAGTTTTTATTTTATTTTATTATTTCTAAATTTGTTGGTAAATGTCTAGATTGTGGTCTATGCACATTAATATTATTTTGGGTATGATGAGTACAGCGTATAGATAAGATAAGTGTTGCTGAGATAAGGATGCTAAGGTGGATGTGTGGCAAGACTAGAAAAGATAGAGTTAGGAATTAATATATTCGAGAATGGGTAGGAGTAGTACCGATAGAAGATAAGTTGAGAGAGAATAAATTAAGATGGTTTAGTCATATACAACGGAAACCAACAAAGGCAGTAGTGAAGAGATGCGATACAGTGACGGTAGATATGCGCAATCCCTTTTGGGGCTACCCATATAACATTCCCCAACAAAAACAATTTGTGCCATAAATTCATAAAGGCCTACTTTTGCACATGCAACAATAGCTTTGACACTATTCGATGTACCACCGGTAGTTTTTGAATGAAACATTTCTTTTTGAAGTCCATTTAATCACCTTTTCTTGAAACCCTTAGGTAAAATGTTCTCATATTTACTAGACCAAATTTATTATGAAAAGCTAACATATTTTTTCTTGGAAGTTGGAGAAAAACTTCCCAAGGGTTGAAAAACAATGATATTTGAGTTACTATACTTTCCATTTAATGTACACATAATATTTTTTTGGTCATAATTTGACCCAGTTGATTTTGTATTCATAATGGTTGACATCTACTTCAGGGTTAAAAATGAAGATTCTTTGTAAGATTTGAGTTTGCATTCGAAGATAAAATCTAATGTGAATTTGTGGTCTTCTAGGTCTCTTTTGTGGATGCTTTTGTCCCAAAGTGAAGCACTTCTGATTTGTGTTATTATTAGATCACAAAAGGTGAAATGTTAAGCCTGAGCATTCAGATTCAATTTTTTTTTTTTTTTTTTCTCCCTTTTGCAGTGGAGATGGTTGATCCTCGACTATGCAGCATGGACACTTTTAGAGAGGAGTCGTGTCTGTTTTGGATATCAACACTTCTTGGGCACTTTGAAAAACGTGTCTGACACTTGGAACATGCCCTTATTTTACAATGTAATTTCACACTTTGATGACAACACATCAAAAACGTGTCTGACACTTAGAACATGTCCTTATTTTACAATGTAATTTCACACTTTGATGACAACACATCAAACACATGACCAACATAAAATGAAATGAAGTACACAATGAAATGGACAACTTCTGACATAGGAAGCGATATAATAATGAAATAAATTAAAAATGTAGTAAGAAAGAAAATAGTAAGACTATGTAATATATACATGACATTTGTAGAGCTTCATTGTACACATTTTGTAATTTTATGGAAAAAAATATATATATACAGATAGTAAATTGAAGTGCATATTTTTCTTTATATTATGTGCAACACACAAACACATATATATAATACTACAATGTTTCTTTGTCCTTGCCATGCTCTTTTTGTATTTTTTAGGATTTGTCGTGTTAGCATGTCTGTATTGAATTGTGTTCGCGTCCCTTGTTCATGTCTATGCTAGAAATAGCCCGGATGACTTGATACTTTCTTCTCTTAATTTTGTCAACCTGGTGATTGATTTTAAAACCGAATGGTTAAAATGGTGATAATGAGTGAAAGACTTAATAATGAAAACCTGATGTTTAGTGTGCTCTTTTTGGTTTTTCTCGTGGAAAATAAAATTTATAAATTTCTTGCGCTTTAAGTATCAAAATCAGGGGAATAGTTAGCAGGAACCTAGGCTTGTTAAGGCAAAAGGTATATGTTTTGGGCATATGTATTTCTACCCATGCTTGGGGTCACCCCTCTACTGGTGGACCAGCAAGTTAAAAGTCAGCCATCAAGGGGTATCATAGTCATTGGTTTAGGAGATTATTTGTCTAGATCACCAAACTTATAATGGGTTATGACAACCTTTTGGACTGTCATGTTAATGATCTTGCAAAATAATCTTAATGAATGGCTTTGTTGATCCTTGGGTTCTGATTTTTCATTTGCTGGTTTAAGTGGAGCAGGCTACCTTTTATACGTGAAGTGGGTGCGGAATGTGGATACTTGTTTAGTGTCCTGATACGTTTCATGTTGCTCATTAATGACTATGTCTTTTGATTGTCTGATAGTTGTGTGCAACTCTAGGTTAAAAAGAATTCCAAAGTCACTGCTTACTAATCATAAAAAAAAGAAAAGAAAAAAAAAAGAAGAATTGCTATTAATTTTGAGTGCGTCACTTCTTGGTAAAGAGGTCACTGCTTACTAATCAAAAAAAAAAAGAAAAGAAAAAGAATTGCTATTAATTTTGAGTGCGTCACTTCTTGGTAAAGAGGTCAAGACCCATCATAAACCTGAAGTTCATATTGTGAACATGATTCACAAACCTAAGATAATTTTCATCATTATAGGATTTACTTGCCTCTACTGATGATGGATAGTTGTTAACTCAACTTAAAAGAGAGTCCTCGAGCTTGGTGTCTGATTTTTCAATTGTTTGATGGTTGAGGTTTTGAATGATAAATCTGTAATGGAATAGGAAACCGATTTTGCTTAATCATGAGTTGCAGATTCCAAAACGCTGTAAAAAATATTCAAAAGTACATATGGCAATTGAATTTATGTTTTTTTTTCATGTACACCTTAACAAAATCTAGTTCATCAAAAAAAAAATGTTGTTTTTTAATCGTCAGATTACGTGGAAGGTGGTGGTGGCAGGTGGTGGTGGGGGGTGGTTGGTGGGTGGTGGTGGTGGAAAATGGTGACGGGTGGTGGCTAGTTTTGGGTGGTAAAAAAAAAACTGAAAACTCAAAATGGAAACACATTTTTTGTGTTTTCATTTTTTGGCCAAATTTATAAACTGAGACCATTGATTTATAAATCAAAAATTTTACCAAACAAGTTTTTATTTGAGTTTTTAAAATTTTTATAAATATAAACAGAAAACAGAAAACGTAAGTGTTACCAAACGATACCTTAGTGTGCTCTTTTTGGTTTTTCTCGTGGAAAATAAAATTTATAAATTTCTTGCGCTTTAAGTATCAAAATCAGGGGAATAGTTGGCAGGAACCTAGGCTTGTTAAGGCAAAAGGTATATGTTTTGGGCATATGTATTTCTACCCATGCTTGGGGTCACCCGTCTACTGGTGGACCAGCAAGTTAAAAGTCAGCCATCAAGGGGTATCATAGTCATTGGTTTAGGAGATTATTTGTCTAGATCACCAAACTTGTAATGGGTTATGACAACCTTTTGGACTGTCATGTTAATGATCTTGCAAAATAATCTTAATGAATGGCTTTGTTGATCCTTGGGTTCTGATTTTTCATTTGCTGGTTTAAGTGGAGCAGGCTACCTTCTATACGTGAAGTGGGTGCGGAATGCGGATACTTGTTTAGTGTCCTGATACGTTTCATGTTGCTCATTAATGACTATGTCTTTTGATTGTCTGATAGTTGCGTGCAACTCTAGGTTAAAAAGAATTCCAAAGTCACTGCTTACTAATCATAAATAAAAAAAAAAGAAAAAAAAAAAGAATTGCTATTAATTTTGAGTGCGTCACTTCTTGGTAAAGAGGTCACTGCTTACTAATCAAAAAAAAAAGAAAAGAAAAAGAATTGCTATTAATTTTGAGTGAGTCACTTCTTGGTAAAGAGGTCAAGACCCATCATAAACCTGAAGTTCATATTGTGAACATGATTCACAAACGTAAGATAATTTTCATCATTATAGGATTTACTTGCCTCTACTGATGATGGATAGTTGTTTACTCAACTTAAAAGAGAGTCCTCGAGCTTGGTGTCTGATTTTTCAATTGTTTGATGGTTGAGGTTTTGAATGATAAATCTGTAATGGAATAGGAAACCGATTTTGCTTAATCATGAGTTGTAGATTCCAAAACGCTGTAAAAAATATTCAAAAGTACATATGACAATTGAATTTATGTTTTTTTTTCGTGTACACCTTAACAAAATCGAGTTCATCAATAAAAAAATGTTGTTTTTTAATCGTTGGATTATGTGGAAGAAGCACATATACAGACACGAGACACAGACATGACAAGACCATGGATATATAGACACAACATTTTTAATCATATCCTTATAGAATGTTCCTAAACACCTATCGATTGTGTTAGTGAGTGATTAATCACCCCCCGTGTATCCTTATAGAATAGAGTTCAGTTTAGTGCTTATTACTGGTTGGGGTGGAACCTTTCTTAATAAGATAAGACTGTTCCTCTATGCTTTTAGTAGACTAAGACTAAGAGAATTATTAGCCTTGGGTTTTGATGGCTCCGGGGTACGTTGTGGCCTCTACACAGGACACGGTAAAAAATAGGAAAAATTGTATTTAAATAGAAACAATTCAAAATAATTGCACTTTTATGGAGGTGCAATTGAGCCTGTGTCTAGCACAAGTGAAAGTTGTGGTATGGGACAACTCTTACTTGCTCAGACTTGCACTTCCATGAAAGTGCAATTATTTTGAGTTGTTCCCATTTAAAATCAATTTCCTTATAATATATATAAATATATATA